GCGTGGTGCTTAGTTGCTGTCTGGGGCTAAACCACGACACAATGGTACAGACTAACTCATGCAAGCCGGAAAACAAAATCAAAGGAAGCTTTTTAATGTGACAGTGCATTGCACTATCATAAAACCTCAGTGCCTGACTGACATTAAGATTTCCTCTACAGGGGAGAAGTGTAAGTTCTTTACAAGTACAGTGCAAAGCAAGTACTAGATTGGTAATGGGAGGAGCAATGGGTTTTCAGCTGCAGTATCAATAGCAAGTGCTGGAATTCTATTTAAAACCTGAAATAAGATAGTCAAAAAACACTTCAGAAATAATAGAGGTAAAATACTTTAAAAATAGATAGATCTTGGCCAAGAACAGACTACAGTCTGGAGTACTGGCTGACAGTAAGTTAAACACTGTTCTCATCATGGCACCGTCCTGCACATTCCCCCTAAATGCAACCCTGGAAGGTAGCTGTCCCTGTTACCGCTTGAAGGAGACAGAACAGATGGCTTGTCTGTGCAGTCACTGCTTTGGGTGCAGGCTGCCCTGCCGCTTCCTCTTTCCTTTACTAACAAATACCCTCCCTACCCACCCCTGATACACGGGCACCAAAGAAAACACTTCTGCAATAGACTGGTTTTAGAGACGAGGCACGAGAGAGAGATTTTGGTGTTTCATCAGGTTGCTTTGCACTGCTATATCCAGGGGTTAACTTCTTCAGTCGTGGTACAGCTAGAAAAACACAAGTTAAATTAGAGCTAGCAAAAAAAGCCGATACAGACTTCTATAGCCTAGACTGTTCCATAGCACACAGGGTTATGAGTCTTGATGGAGGAGAACATACTGTCACTCACAGATGGCATGGTAGAGACAGCTGTAAGAATGAAATCTATGAACAGCTACTGAACATTAATTTTCAACTGCATCTCTACCACATCTAGAAAGCAGTGGTTGCCAAGTCATTCTGGTATATTTTTATCTTTCCAAGCAATATGACAAGACAACGCTGGGATCCAGCTGGTTTTGGTAACAGTTCTTGTTCCAGCTATGACGCCTAGTGTACTGAGATTATGTAAGCAGCTTCTATATATTTCAGTGCTTAGAAGTTTTAAAGCTTTAAAAGCTTTAAAGCATTTTACATAAAACTCAAAAGTCTGACTTTCAAACAGGAGGGAAATTTACCACATTTTTCACCTGAGTCTATCAAAAAGCCTGAGGCAATTATGAACAGCAAAGAGCATATTTTCTAATCTCTGCTATTGTCTACTTATATTGGTGCTCATCTTCCATACCATTTCAAAGAGAATACCCAACAAATTCTAAGGTATAAGTGAAGAAGGCAGTGACACATCATTTGACAGCTGTATTTTAGAAGCATTTTTTATGACCCATGTAAAACCACAAGTTTTTTCTATGTATAAGCCACCAAATCTGAAAACAAGAAGTATGCAATTCTTTGTTTTCTCAACCAAAATTAACACTGGCTACTCACTCTTTCTTTTGACGTTCCTATTACCACACTGGACAGTCTGTTTTCAAAAAGGTCTTCGGTCTTTAAATTGCCAGCAGCCCCGGGTAGTGGAGGAAAGCTAGATAAACCCAATTCAAAGCTAGGAGATGGAGGTTTTGGGGGTGGTGGAGACTGTGTTTGGCCTCTCTAGAATAGAAATAACGTATTGAGGTTACTGCACTGGATGATAGAAAAGAGAGACATGGGACTCTAAACTGTATTTTGCATTTGATTTGTATCTGTGAAGCCCTAGAGAGGCCTCCCCCATCCCGCCTCCCAAGAAAACCACCCAGTACCGAGGAATAGATGCTTTCATTTTCCACTGTTGCGCTTAAAATATTTAACTTATTTAAATGGCATGACATAAGCATCCTTAAAAATTTAATATGCATAAGCTTTAGTGATACTGGTATATTAAGAAAAATCTTCTCGCTGACCCTTCCTTCAGGATGGACACTTACACCAACATAGAAAGGAAAACAGACTGGTTTAGATATCACTGTATTGTGAAAACCGAAAGCCCATTTATGTGCAGTTGGTACCATTCTAAATGAAAGACAGGAGTCAACAAGGATCTTATATCATGTTCAGATACATTAAGAAATGGCCAGACGGCATGCCTTGCATGCAGTGTAGACAACAGCAATTTTAATCTAATTACTATGAATGTATATGGTCACTCTGTAAAAATTCAAAGAGAAATGTCAAAACTATTTCTGAAACAGTGAGAATTTTCTTAACTAAGTCTAAGAAGAAAAACAATGTCCCGGGCAGAAAAACATCAATGGGCTAAATGCAACTATTTTGCACTACAGACAGCAGCTCAGGAGTTGAGTACCACAGTTAAAAATCACTTGTGAGGACTGCTTGTAAGAATTTGTAAAGCTAAATTGTATTTACACTGAAAAAAATCAAATTCCTTTTGTAATATGCTGTAACTGAAGTTACCCATTAACTTCATCTACATCATGTAAACAAAGAAGTAACCGTTTCATGACTGTGCTCAGGCCTGTGCTAAGATGATCTCTGCTGCAGAATACCAAATGCAAAGCAATCTTTGAGATGATTCCCATTTTGAAAAGGAAAATATTTATGGGTATATAGCCAAGATAGTCTGAATGTGAGAACAATGCTTCTGGATAGAAAGGTGTTGCATTACTTACTGGTTTTTCCCCTTCCTTCTCATGAAGAGCAATAGATACAAAACTACCCTCGAGGTCTTTTCACAAACTATAGTTTATGTCAAAAGTTTATGTCAAAAGAAG